CATACCAATAAGTTTTGATAAGGTAAACAGAGCTATGATGCAATCCGATTGAGACCAACCTTGAGGAATTTTGCAATTTTGTCTCAGGGAGTGGAAGACTGTAATTACTATGATAGCCTAATAATTTATGAAGTAATTTGATGCTGACACATGGTCAACGCTATGTCATAGATATGGTGCAATTCTCAAAGGAATTAGCTGGACAGAGTGACCAGATATTGACCTTCTAGTACTGTCTGAGACCCCTTCCATGAATTTCTGTTACAAGAAGGACATGTTCCCTCTTAAAAAGCATTAAAAGATCAAGTCGTGGCATCAAATTTGATTTAAGAAATAAAGAAAACAGCCAAGGAAAAGTTTTGAGAGAATTTGAAGAAAAAAATATCAAAGAAGGCTAATATTTAATAAACAGTGACAACAGAATTTTTTCATTCCCATAGGCTTCGTACAGGTACCACCTAGTTCCTGCAGGCAATGGGTTAAGTTTGGACATTTTAAAGATTGCAACTCTTTGATTGTGTTTGCGAAAAAAACTTTCAGCTTCTTTTGTATTGAACATTTCCAAAACCATCCTGAATCTTAACTTTTGATGAAATCATATGTGTAATAAAGGGAAATATGTTAATTTTTGTACCAAACAGATAGAGAATAACTCACAAGAAGAAATAATATAGTTGCTAATTGGCATGGGGATTTTCAAAAGTTCAAAGCAAAACAAAATTATCATTCATCAGATAGTTCTCAAACTTTGACAGACCAGATTCTCTGAATTTTCATATTGTATCTAATCTAATTCTCATGGTGATCAGGGTATGTACTTCTCTTTAAAACAAATGGGAAGAAATCACTAGAAACTTTAGTGCTTATCAATTTCCTGCCCCAATTAGCATATTTAAAATAAAAGGTAACACAAACAATTTTCTGGTAAATACAGAGAAAATAGAGATGGTAGAAATTTATTCCTCAAATTCAGAATATGCAATTCATTTCCCCCAGATCTCAGCCATTATAATAATTTGCTGACTGCATAGGGTCAGAGTTTGTTTTCGACGTATAATTTTGAATAAATATAATTTGTTCTTTATTGCTTTTGACATTTAAAAAACAAGTTTACTTTAAGGAATATATTTGGATAAAAATAACAAAGTTATTGACCTTGGTGACTACCTGAAAATAGACGTCAGAGAGGAGGAAACAAATAGCTGCGTAAATAACACCAGCATGCAGGGAGCTAGTAGAAGGGTCACATCTCACCAGAGTATTTACTGTACTGCTTTGGATATGAGCGCTGTGATTGGTCAGTTGTTCTGATGACATCATCACAGTTCCCTCGGGGGAATGTGACCTGTGACAGGAAGTTAGCCAGTTTCCCTCTCTGTCTAGTCTTGGTTCTAAGCTTTGTTGAAGTAGTTATGTCATGGACTTTTTAAAATAAATTATAACACTCCTTGAGTGCATTTTCGTATTAAATTAGTTTCAAATATGATTTTCTTGATGTTTCCCAGAAGGTAATGTTATAATTGAAAGGAGCAAGAGGGGATTGAATAAGCTAGGTATTATTTTTTTTCTTTTTTCTTTCCCTTTTTTCTCAATTTATTTTTAAATTGCATTTTTTGCCAAGAGACTTATTTATTTGAAGCTGATTTTTGCTAGCTTTAGTTAAGGGAGGGGGGGGGGGGGACTTTAGGTTTCTACCAAAAAAAGTTCTATAAGAAGAGGTTTTACAGTATGATTCTATGAGATCTGTACTCTCTGAAAATGAAACACTCCCTCCTCACTTTCAAAAGATTAAAAAAATTTAAAAAACTGTCAAATTACGTGGCTTTCAGATAAAAAATTTCCCAAAAGGTGTTTAAGCGTGTAGTTTGATTGTCAGTCATATTGAAGGAACTTTATGCACTGAAGACTACACTAGGTAGATCCTGACTCTGTATAGTACCTCTTTGATTTAGGTTCGGTTCAAAGACATCATTTTGTTCTGGTGTCAGAGTCTGTATAAGCAGACTAAGCTGGACTAGATACCGTGGATATTCCAAACATAGCACCTGTCTGGGTAGAAGGAAATCTCAGTTACAGGTCCGTTTCCTATCCCTCCCAGCTAGGCTCCACCCCATTCTGTGTGATGTCATGAATAGCGAATCAACTATTCCCCAGTAACGTACTTATATGGATGAAAAGAGCTAATATGGTCAGATGCAAGCTCAATTTTGTGAATGGGTTATAGTAAAATAGAGAGCAATCAAAACAAAGTTATGTGGAAGTAAAGGTTAATTAAGATGTGTCCTTGTTTATTTCGCTATTTTTGCAAAAAGAATTCCCATCTTGCAATCCAAGTAAGAAGTGTAATTTTTTTTTAAAGACTAACAACTTTTTAAAATGACAGTTGCCACCCAAAGTTCCTCACCAAACATTATTCCAAAACAAAAATAAGAATACAAGTGAGTTGCATGCATCATTATATGTAATTTGTGCATTTGTTAGAGAATGACATAAAAACAATATTCTTTCAATACTTAATTTACTTCTCACATAATAATTAAATCTGTGCTTATATTAATAGAATGGCCTTTCCGCAAGATTTCATCACCACTGATAATAATCACATACAAATATGGAAGCTATAGAGATAAAAAAAATCTTTCATAGACACTTTTTCAAATAGTAGGTATCTATCTACAAATGCATCTGTCTATCTATCTCTCTATGCCCCATATATTTTAGAAACCATTGGGGGGAGGGGGAAACACCTAACAATATGATGATGATCTCGAGGCATAGGTCCTCTATAAATAACGACTACTCAATAATTATCAAACTATTTGTTTTTTGATCTCATGATTCTGAGAAACAAATTTAATTATAGGCAAATAACTCTCTTTTGTGTCATTCTGTTATCCCATAATTGAACTTGTGTTAATTTTTGAGGTAATATGTTTGTTGGCCCAGTCATTCTGACATTGAAGTCAGATGTTGCCATCAAACCAAGCGAACCAAGCCTGGCATGAATCATTCAGTCGACCTTGTATCTTGTACAATATTTTCTTAGATGTCTATTGTATGAACATGATTATAAGTTGGAAGGTGTCCCACATGCCTAAGATGAGTAAGAGTGAAAGCACTTTGGACTTAATTGACATTTCTTTCTTTTGGATCCTATCTAAAGGGTAAATGCCCTTGTGACTGTTATACAGTGGTATTGGTACAGCCTTTCTCCAGTATACAGATTAGTTCCTAAAATGTCATTTACTTTTGTAATGCCTTTGAGGTAGATGAGAGAGAGAAAGAGAGAGAAAGAGAAAGAGAGAAAGAGAAAGAGAAAGAGAGAAAGAGAAAGAGAAAGAGAAAGAGAGAAGAACAATAAGAACAAGAAAAACAATAAGAAGATATTTCTGACAAATATATCTCCAGGCAATCAGATTTGTGAGCTTGTGCACCAATGTGCCTGGAATATTATCAGATTCACGTGGATCTAGTATTTAAGCAGCAGGATGAAGAAATGAATATCAGCATCAAAATCATAAATTAGGTTCCGACTTAATATTCACCCTGTACATGTTTTATTGTGCCCCGAAATACTTGTTTGTTGATAAATCTTAATTATAAAATTATTTCAGCCTCAGAAGAGTGTTAACTCTGTGTTAAATTACATGATTTAATACCCTTCTGGTCCTAAACAGATAAACAGACAATATTTATAAGAGTATAGTGTAACACTATCAGAGTGAACATGATATTGATTAATTTGTTTTGGTATCTGTACTAGTTGAAATATGAAATGCCCATAAAAGCCTAGCCTCTTCCTTTTTTGGCAACCTACGTACCATTTGCTTTGGAGAATCTTTTTTGTCAGGCTTTATTCATAATCAATATAAACCATTTAGTTTCCATGGTTCGGCCAGGGGCCCGGGTCAGAAAGGTGCATGCCATCCCTGAGTGTGATCAAGTAAAGCAGGAATAATTCAGATATTGTTTAGCATTATCGTGATGGCCCACAGTAATCCTGACTGAAACATCCATATTCAGCTCTCCTAACCAGTGTATACAAGGTTAGGATTAGGGTAAGGGTTAGGGTAAAGGTTAGGGATGCTGTTGTGTTTTTAGTTAGGTTTAGGGTGATCAACAGGGTTTGGTCTAGGGTTGAAGTGAGGATTCTGGTTGGTGGTGGACATTGACTGAAGAGTTACATGTATCATTAGTAGAGCATATGTTGTGTATATAATACCCCTATTTTTTAGCAAAGACATCTGTTTGAAGCTCCTGGGATGATGGGCAAAGGGGAACAGTCCATTACTAGGTGTCTGAAGTGACTGAACTTTTTTCCGTACTCGGTACTGTGAACCCCCTTCCTATTATTACAAGAGTCCATTCACCTGCTAGCCTTTCCAGATAAAGGTCAAGCCCTTTTTCCCTCTACCCCAGAGGTCAGACTTACCCCCACCCTGCCTTTACATGGAATTATAGAACGGTGGTGTAGACATGAGTGGTACCATGGACCTACTACAATGGTGGTACAGAGTACACAGTTGATCTGGACCCCAAGAGAATATTGTCATTCTTGGATATTTGTTGCCAGCTGCAAGTATTTCTTTTCCATGAAGTAGCATTAATTCTAAAAGAAATGTAAGATTTAGGAAGTTTAGTGGCTCCCTTGTTGAATTGATGAATTCCCTGAAGTGCCCATAAAGAAAAGAGTATTCTTTGAAAATCAATTTTATTAAGAATGTCTAGAGGGTTTAATTTCTCTTTCTTAAATACTTGGTATTGAAGGTTATTTCAATGTTTTATACCCTGTCTGAATTTATTTATAGATTATGATGAAAATGATCTTAGTGTACAAAGCTGTTTATTCGCTCTTGATTTTTGTCATTGTATTCCTGGAACCCTGAAGAAACAATTATAGATTGGAATTTAATATCACCACCACCTGCCCATGATTTTGTTAAAGTATTATATTTAGACATTATGGATTTGAGATTAAAGGAGATAGGCTACCAAGATAATGATATTTGTATATTTACTATAACTTTAATTGACAATATCAATATATATCAATGAACATTAATATCTGAGCTATCCAGCTGTCAATGTTCACACATGTCAGTAACATCCTCTACATAGTTGAATTGAAAATGAGATGTAAACAAAGCCAGTATTACAAACATGGAAAAACATTACATAACTAGGATACTGCATATTTTTGTTACATTTTGAGTGGAAAATAATCCTATTAAATTCATCAACAGCATGTGGTGTCACAAAGATAGAAAAACAAATACTAGTTTGTAGATATAATTTGTAACTGAAGTCATATTTTTCCTTCATTGATCTTTTAAAGAAATCACCTTTTTACAGTGAACATAACAAACATAGGTCTGTTTACTACTTTGGAGTAAGCACCAGATATTATTCTTACTTCCTGACCAATATATCGTGTATAATTTGGGATTCAACCATATTTCTATCCTTTCAGCTATCAAAGTTTGCCAATGGATCTGTAGCAATCTTCTAGCCCTGGTATTTGAAGTAAATGTACATGTGCACTGAAAGTCAACTTTTCAGATATACACTGGATATTTTTTATGTCTTCAAAGTATTTCCTTTTTGTACTTGACAGGCATAAAAGTGCATGGAACAGTTAAAAGTTATCAACAATTTGGTCATGACCATGGAATCATTTGATAGATGTATCTGTGTTGGATATATGTACAGACTGAAGCTCTAATAACAATGAATATTTGGTAAACAATGTAATACAAAAGTCAGTCATGTAGTTTAAGTATTGTAAGATACCCCAAACATGTCAATATGTATTTGTATGCTACACATAAAACCATTTCAGTTGTACTGGTTCACACTACAAGCTACTTGATACTTTACAAAATCAATCTAATCTGTATCACATCATATTCAACTTCAATTTTGACTTTTGTAACACCCACCTGCTTCCTTGATGTTAAAATGGAGCATTATTTACAAGCTCTATAGCCTGCAGTTCAGGTGGAATGGGTTTTTCCCATCACCAACAAAATCATATTTAATTAATTTTTTTGAATATAATCTGAAGAAGATGCGCTAATCCTCCCCTCTTTTTCCATGGATTAGTTTACCTACTCCAGACTTGATACAATGTACAACTCAATTCATTAACTGCATTAAAAACCCACTCAACTTGAAAGCAAGCTACAGCTTCAGAGCTCATCAAATCACAAAAGTGGGCATTTGACATTATGCCATGATTTATGGGTAACATATTTGTACATCTTAGCTCAAAGCAAACAAACGTACAATATAAATCACATGAAATATATACATTCACATATTATTTATATGATTTATTAAGATAGAGACATGTTATTACACACCTGGATTTATACTTTTTCTTATGAGAATGTCAGTGAAATCTAGAAAATTTGAGGAACTAGAGGAATGATTATTCAACTTTATTGATATATTTGGTGGTTAGCCTTGCAAATTTGTTTAAAAAACATAAAGCTGGCATTTTATCAGGGAGTGGGAATTAAAATGAGCCTGGAACTGGTTTTATTGATGCATAGTGCAGTTTTGTGGAAAGTTTTATTCTCTGAAAGTGAAACACAAATAAGAAGAAATTTTTTAATATTCATGGATGATTTTTAGGGGTATATTTGTAAGTTTATTTATATACTTGATTGATAGTGATGGTTGTACTTTGGTGGTTTCATAGCAGTTATCCCTGCAATAGCATATAATATGCCCAAGAAAAAGAGAGACGGATTCGTCTCGCCTGAGCTCACTCTAACGCATCTTTAACAAACAGGTTTAAGAAACATTTCAAAAGTAAATTACTAGGAAAGTAACTAAGTTAGCATTGCAAATGTTGTTAAATATGCCTTAGTATATTTATTTGTACAAAAAAACATCATATAGGATTCAAATATTTCAGGAAAATGACCAGGAAAATGACTATTTGGCCACTCTCTACATTGTAGCATTTTCATAGTATCTTGTACTATACACTCCACTTTGATGGTTACCAGTATATCATTTTACTATGTCTTACAATATTCACAGCATAAATTCTTTAATTACGGAGATAATATATATTCATTCTCTATTTAGACTAATGGATATGTATTTCTGTGATAAACTTTGTATCATTTAGTTGAACTGAAGAATAAAGAAATACAAACTTGTTGGCAAATTTGATAAAGTCCTTGGGTAAACTCTTTGAAATATCATACTCTTGGAATATGGGTACAGGAGTTGCCCTCCTACCAGGGCCAGGGGTACATCAGTGTCCCTCTATTCAAGGAAGCTGGTGTTTGACACACTTATGGTAGTCATTGTTCTTCTGCCACTTGCACTTGTGTCCATGCCGCATGGTGCAACGTGAGTGAGATGCGATGCAGTCATAAGGGCTGTAGGCGTCCCCTATGTGGACTTGAGATGCATCATACAGACAGGTGGTTGCTCGGTTCTCCTTGGGTTTCTTGCAGTGTCTGCTTGACGTACAGGAATGGATCTAGCAGTTTTGAGATAAAGAGGGGGAAAAAAGACACCATTGGTAATGTGAAGGCCATATATGCAGTGTCTTTTGATGTAGACTGTGACAATTCTTTCAAGTGTACAAATTGAATTTTCTTCAAAGAACTAAACTTTTGGGTCACATTTTCAAGAAATTAGTTGTAAAGCAAGTTCATTACTGGTCAATCCCTCATTTGTAGCAGTGAACCAGTTTTAAGACCATATTATAGATTGTATTAATTGATTCAAGTTGAGATTTCAGAAGGAATCTGATACATTTTTTAGATCTGTGACAAACCATTCCCAAATTGAGGCATTTTATTCTTCTTCTTCCTGGCCAGCAACCTAGTTGGCTATTTGATTATCCTGTCTTTTTGAATTTGGTCATCTTGTTTAGTCTTTTGTCACATATTGGGAGGCAGTAAGGTTTAGAGGATAGGGCAAAGATCTTAGAAACAGGGTAACTTGGATTTGAGACCAATCATATGCACTAGTAGTCCTTTACATTACAGAGTACATCAGATGGGACTTGAAGCCCTACCGGTTCCCCTGAAGCTCACTTACCAGGATATCTTTCCTGTCTTGGCACCCCAAATAGTCAGTGGTGTCACTAGACATTTTGAATAGTTTGGGTGTCACCTATCCCCCTACTTTTCTTTATAGTGACACCCCTGAAGATAGTTCTGTCACACACTTACCTGGCAGACATCGCAAGACTTTCCATAGATTGTCTTGAGACCCTGCTTCTGTCTGGTTGTCAGCTTATGATGTTCTTGAACCCAGTCACAGAGCACTACTTGGTTTGCACTTGAACCTGGGTTTGAAAGATCATTTCAGGGGATAGGAAATTAGGTTTACGTTTACATACATATTGGTATATGTGTCCAAAGAAGGAATACATGAAAGAGATCAATATAAGGCAATCTTATTGTTTCATCATTAAATCTGTGTTGCCCTTCATGTCCAAGGAAGAAAAAAAAAGTGCAGGTCCTATTTATGAACATATTTTCATTGAGATTTCAAACAAGATCAGTATGTTTAACTAAAGGCAAAAGTCGTGGATTGTCTATATACCCGGTGCTTCAAGTTTACAATTGGGGTTCCAAATTTCTTAATCTCCTAGTGAACCCCTGCACAGTGTCAACATTTTCTCTGTCTCATGCCTGCAGAATACATGCAGAATGGCATCATGTGTGCCTTTAGACAATCTTTAAAGATTGAAACAGTGAGATATTACTCGCCTGCAATGAGGTAGTTCTTTCCTGTCTTGAGGTCTGTCTTGCCACACAGACTAGAGGCAGCAGAGCTATCAACCTGTACTTCATCACCTTGCTTCCAACCTTCTTGCCCCATCCCTGTCTTGTAGATGTGGCTCAGTTTGAGGGTGTAGATGATCTTATAGTTCCAGGCCTCCATGCTCTCAGGGTCGATGATGCGCTCCTCTGTGAATGAAGAGAATATGAAGCAAAGCCTAGGTTTAAAAAAGCAGACTGCATTAATCAACTTGATTTATGAAGTGTCATACATACTAATGATGACACTAAGGGAGAAGACCTATGGACCAGTAATGGAGTCAGTGTGACTTAAGCTATTGACTACTGAATTATCTAATTTATATAAGATTAACACAGATTACTCCCCCCCCCCCCCCCCCCCCCTCCAGTAAGCAATAACGCATCACTTCATAAAACTGCTCTATACTTGAGTAAATTTTTAACTGTATGAATGATTTTTTTTTTGGTTAAACTTCATTTTGTCTATTTTAAAAATTCAGTGTTTACTTCTCATCCTTTATGCTTAAAGGATGTATTCTTTCATGTTCAATAAATACTACTGATTGTTTTTTGTTGTTTTAGTTTAGTTTAATAGAGTATACTTATATACCTTCTGCTATGGGCTCTTCGGCACCTATTGTAGGCTCCAACAGAACAGTTTCATTGGAAGGTTTCTCCTGTGGAGGAAGGGTTGTCATGGTGTGGGATTCATCTGTCATCACTAAATCTGGAGGTGGAGTTGTCAGTGTTGTGATGGTATCCTCAAGAGGCTTCATGTCCTCTGGTAAGGGCAAGGGTGGTAATGCCTCATGGGTGTGGGGTTCCTCAGGGAGCGGTTGTAGGCCCTCTGGATGGGGTAAGGGTAGGAGACCCTCAGGCTGACCTAGTGGTTCTGGACCACCCTCGAAGGGCAGGGCTTGGAGCCCATCAGGTTGCTGGAGGGGTTGGAGTCCAGCAGGTTGAGGGAAGGGTTCTAGACCATCATTCTGAGGGAAGGGTTGGAGCCCATCTGATTGAGGAATGGGGGCAAATAATCCATCATTCTGGAAAGGATCTGCAGCCTCAGGTAGAATGGGAGGCCCTAGACCATCTGGATAGGGAAGAGGTTCCAAAGGTTCCAGGTCCTGCAACTGTCTGCCTCCATCACCAAACTGCTCGCCTTCTAGTCGTTCATCCGGGAGTCGATGGAGACCCGTTCCAGGGTAGGGACGAGTCCTCTCACCTAGGGGCTCAATGGCAGCATGATCAGAACCCAGCAGTCCCGTGCTGAAACCAAGACCTCTGGGATTCTTGGGGATGTACTCTCTCTTCAGAACCCTTGCTCCAATCACTGTCAAATCGGAATGAAAAGTACACAAATATTTTTCATTATGAATAGGTTATTGTGATGTTAGCATATTTGTAACTACTGTATTTTTTTCTTCTGACATTGTCCATTTGGAGCCAGGTAAAATGCCTTATGGCTCCAAACAGACTGTTTGTACTCAATTTAAAGCCTATCTGCACTAGTTTGGCCAGGAGGGATTAGACCTCCCTGCATGGTCACTGACAAGTGGTTATCTCATCAAATCAGCTCTCAATTAACATAAGATAAAGGGGACCATGGGGACCAACGGTCACCGCTTAGGCATTGTTTGCTATATAGAGGGCGCAAGTAGCTATACTTAGTGCAGTGGGGCTTTAATGACTATTGAGTAAATATATTCATTGACTTTTTCAACTATTTGATTGCTTTCATTATCTTAATTTTCATTTTTTGTTGGGGAACTTACAGTGATGGAAAAATAGGAAAGAGAGCTGTATTACTGTACCTTACTTACCAGTACAATTAATTTCATGTTTATCAGTTATTTGTGAAACAGCATCATCAAGAAATCCACAGAAAATCTTAACTTCATGGATGGCCAATATTTGTCTCATATATGCAGTGTAGTCATGCTATCATGGGTAAGGACTAGGAGGCGGTAATGGGCAATCAAAATTCTGATGCACCAATTATCCCCCCAAATATTCCATTTGTATTCAGAGACAACATAGCACTTCACCGCAGTGCAGGCTTCAAGCTTCCATTTATGAATAATACCCTACGGCAATCATTCCTGTAAATGGGATATTCAATACCCATTTATGCAGCAAAGTATATCAAACATAGGTCTCGAAGAGTGGTAGCATAATACTCCATCCTCCTTACAGCCCCTCATCCTCCGCATCCAATATAATTGCATCTTCTCTGCATCAACCTAATGTCAAATACGCTCAGCTGTATTCCTCCATTATCTGCAAGAAAATCGAAGAGGCCTGTTTTTGAGGTTGGTGTGTAGCTTGCCTTTCAGGGGAAACAACTTTATTTTCGGTGCTTGAAACAAACGTGCCATAACAACAGGAGAAAAGATGATGGAGGCATGATTTAAAGTTATTATATTTCATATTTTCAATAGAAAATGTTGAGCATAAACCAGGGGCAAAGCAATTTGAAAGTTTCATTTAGAAAAAATCTAATTGTTTGGTGGAGATGGTTAAGATAGCAATTTGCCTCTATTTCTCTTCTTTGGTGTACCTGTCCATCTAGTCAAAATTATACTAAGAATGTTCAGTAATGTACAAATCATTTTTCCTTCAAAAATATTTAAATCAGTTTTGTTGTTTTTTATGACACCTTGAATTTATTTTGTTTCACAGTACCACAAACAGTTGACTTATCCCCCTCTACCATCCAGTGATGATTTTGTTCATTTTACATACTATTAGGGAGAAACTACATGGGATTTCAGTAAAGCTACTGCAGATGTTGTGTGATGCAGCTTAACCCATTTGCTATTGAATTAACCATGGCATAGCTTTAGCCTAGGAAGCACCTAGTTCCAGTAGGCAAGGGGTTAAGAGATAGATGATGTTACCAGTGATATTTGAGTCCTCTTAGATTGCTGCTTGTTATACCTAGTGGGCCTTTTATTGATTCTCCTGGAAACCCTCTCCCTCGAAAAAAAAAATTCCTCTTCTTTTTTTCCCCTTCATTACAGTTCTTATCTTTACTTCTCTTTGTTTTTTTAACCTCTTATGGTGTCTTTATCTGGTTATTTTGCAATATGATGTCTCTTTATCTCTGTTTTTCTTTATAAATATCCATCTTCAACCAATTTATGGACTTTTTTTGCAGAGGAGTATGCCACTATGTGAATGATCAGTTAATCATCTTTTTGTTTATAACATTGGTTGGGGCTTTGCTCACCTCACACCAAAAAGGAATGCTCTAGTCACATATATTTATTTAAATACTTTGCTGACAATTGAATTCCACAAGTCATTCCTCCTCTGTCTGTCTGTTTGTCTTTCTTCCCAAACCATTTGGCGATCCTATTTCCCCTCTCCTTACATCTTCTTACCATCTCTACCCCTCCCCCCCCCCACACACACACATCATCTACCCCATCCTCTGTCTCTACCTCTTATCCGCCCCCATTCAAGCTCCTCTACTCTTCGCACACTCACGACCACTCTATCTTCTCAGTAACCCCCCTCCCACCCACCCACCCATTATATAACCACATTCTTCATATCATCCTCCATTCTATCCTCATCTCCTTTCAACCACATTCCCTCTCCTTCTAGCCTCTCCACACTACTCTCTTATTCCACTCCCTCATCCAGACTACGTATCTTTAGACACCCCACCACATTCTGTACCCCATCCTCCATCTCGTTCCAGACCTCTTTATCTACCCCAGCCCTTCTATATTTATATCTATCCTATCCATCCCCATCCCCTGCCCACCCCTATCAAACACACTATCCAACCTATCCTCTATAAAGAAGATAGTGGAATCCACTCTAGATATGTTATCTACCCAATCCCTTCTTCCCTTCCACCCACTTACTATCTGCTCACCCCCCCCCCCTCACCACTAACCGATCAAGCACATACTCCTTCCATACCTCCAATTCTCCCAGTCCCTTATTACTTTGACCCACTCTTGTTTTCTTATCAACCCCCCCCCCCCCTCCCATACCCCTACCACCCCATCATCTACTCATTCCTCTCTCCATTCTCCATCTCTTCCCAACCCCCTCATCCCCTTTCTACCTCATTTGACTACCTCCTCCACCAACCCCCCCTCCCCCTCACCCTCCATCATCCCTTTAACCCATCAACCCCATCGTCTATTCCATCCTCTATCTTCTCCCTCCTCTTCCTCCTTGAGGCTGCATCTTCAGATGCTGATCTTTCCTGCCCTCTCTCAAACCTCTTCCAAACCTTCCCTGTTCAGGTTGATAGCTTGGCAAATATAATCAGAAAAATACTTCCGTGAGGATCCGATTCCCTCTCGTACTCCTGTATTACTTGACACCTTACCCCATCCTTGGGGGGCTCTTTCAATATCAAGCCAATTGATGGGGTTTTCTGTGTCGCTACCTCGGAGAATGTTGCCCAGGCATGTTATTTGCTGAGATCATTTTTCTACCTGAATTTCCTTTGAAATCATAATCAGAAACAAGATTATATTTTAGAATATACAGCCCTTTACCCCTCTCTTTCTATTGTTATTTACTGTCCTGTTTTCTCTATATACTCGCTTTTTTTTCTAATCCCAATGGGCCTTTAATTAACCAGCTTAAGCTGAATAACCTATACATAATATCAGATAATATACTGTAGGCCATGAACAGATATCCCATGTTTATTTTGCTAATTAAAACAAAAATCACACATTTCTTCTCAACTTCAAATGGCAAATATCTTTTTCATTCCCGCTTCATATTCAGTACAGTTTTTTTTTAATTAAAAAAAATCCCATCATGTTTGAGTTGAGTTACTTGATTACCAGAAGTTAAGTTAACCTTTAAGATGGCCACCTTGTGTGATTGTTTAATGATATCACGCTGACTCAGCATACAGGCAGGATGGGTCTACTTAATGGGTAAATATAGAATATAGCTTGTCAATATACATGTATATCATAATCATCGTGTAGCTTTAGTCAAAGTAGGTATTGGTACCTACTGATATAAACTATGTCAACAACCCTAATCAAAATAAAGTAATCTAAACATAGTAATAACAAAATAGTGAAAAAGCAGCACAGAAAATATTCTTAATCTTATATCTTTCTTTTTTTAAACTCTGAATATATTTTTCATTTATCTGTTTTTGCACAAATCCTTATCCTGAAAATATTTTTTTGATCCATTTCTCCATTTTTGTCATAAGAAAATGGAAGAAATGATTTAGTTTTTTTTTTTAGGAAATACCATGAAAATATAGAGAAAATTAAAAAAAAGTGTGTGGAAAACGACGAGGGAGGTATTAGCATTAGATTAAGGTTTAGTGATTATGTTACAGCTCACCTAACCTAAAGGCTACGTAGGTTTCAAGTTTTGTTTAGGGTTAGCATTAGACATCATGTTGGGTCCTGGTTTAAATTAGTCAATGTCAGGAAGTGATTGTACATAATTAATGCGTTTGTCTCAGGAGCATGTACCATACAGTCACTTGGAGAGAATGATACTGGTTGTATTGTAGGTAATGAAGTTATTTGTGATACATGTCTATGAAGAGCAGCACTGTTTCCACTAATATGATTGTATATGGTATGGTTTATTAAAGGTTGTAAGCTGTAGATGTTTTTGCGATCAAATATTTTATTCCTATCTCAACATCAATCTATATCATTAAAATACATCACTTGTGTACATAAAAAATATGTAAGATATTGGCTACAATCTCAAAATATTACATTACTGTTTATAAACATTTGTCTGATAATAGTTTTCTGTAAGGAACATTTAAGTTTGTATTTATTGTTCTTATGAGTAAAAATAATTTTCTTCTGTGATTGAAAGATAACTGATACTTGCTAGCTATTTTTTACTCTGACGTATATTCATGATTCAAATTTTGCCCACATTTCTTTTATTTGATAAGAAAGGGAGGCGCATATTTCCTTCCAAATATTTTATATGTTGCTATGGAAGAATAGTATATAGATTGGCCTTGGAATTCAATCTACATTGATATAAATCCATGGCATAGAACTGGGCAAAACAAAAAACCAAAGCGAGCAAATTACATTAGTTGCATTTACCCTGGAAAGGGCAAATCTAGCTTTAGATGCGTTGTGAAAACATTGCTGCGTTCAGGCCAATTGAAACTGCAAAAAATAGTCGGATGAGGAAATTGAATATAATGTTTGGGAAATGCTTGTGGGAGTGTGTTGAAACAAGGTAACCACAAACATGCCTGTGTATTGGGGGTATCAATGAGTTATGAACAATGAAAAGAAAGAACTTCAGGAGACAAATCGTCCGAAGAAAAAAATATGAAATTGCTCGATATGTTTAGTGTACTAAAAGGAAAACTACCAGCTTGAAATATTATATATGGAACAAAATATTACAAGTTTGAATACCAAACCCATCATGCTAAAAGCAACTGCCAAATGGACTTAAACTTATTAATTAGCTTTTCACTAGATCATGAAAATAGTTAAATCAAGTATTAATTTGTCCTAGAGTGTAGTAAGAACTTCTCAGAAATGTTTATAAATTAACATAATAGGGGGGAAGCTATCTTTGATTTTTTAGTAAGAATAGTTTTAGTCCTAACAAATGCATGGTACAAACCATCCCATAATCATAAAGAACTTATCATGACAAAAGAACTTATTGCAAAGGGATTCTGCACCGTTGTCAAAAACCCTATAATCCTTATAGGCTCTTTTTAACATATATTTTGACACGTTGAAGGGTACCTTTAAGCTATAAATTGATGTTGTCACCTGCAGGAGACAAGGTACATTAATCCATGAATGATAATTGGAAATCAAGACTTTTTTAACGAGGAGATTGGAATGTGGCAAAGGATCATTGACGTCACTTGCTGGCCCACTCAAAATTAATTACCTAGATGTTATAATGATCTACTAAAATAGTATTCAATGTTGCGTATATATATATATATATATATATATATATATATATATATATATATATAGTGATTGATGTGAAGAGATATGTTTGCTTTATGCCTTACAATTTACAAGAATGATGGTGAGAGGGGGTTTATTATGAATACTTCAATTTGATTTTGTAGAATTGTTTCAAGCTGTAAAACTTGTTGTTTATTTCAGGAAGATTCTGCAAATAGCAGCGCTTAAGACACATCATCACAGATTAAATTCTTCAGTACAAAAGTAGAAAGTAGAAATATTATAAAAAATAGCATGGAATTTTCAGGTCCATGAGAATGTGAACTAGTATAGTTTATTTGCATATAAATAGGGAAAACATGGAAAGCAATATACCTGATAAATTGTCCAAGAATGATGCAAGAAATTCATCATATTCTGTCACTTTATAAAAATACCTTATTTGAATGTTCAAGTGGATGAATTCTCCTTTGTCTACTGGAACATGTACATTCACATCAATAGCAAATCTTTTCCTCTATTAGTACAATCCCTATCTTTGAAAGTTCACAGTTTCGGGGTCACCGTAAAATGTCAGCAAAGCTGCATTTACACTGCAAAGTGCAAATCAAAATCATTGGTTTTTTTTACATTCAGGTGTTTGGCCAAAGTTGCTAGTCAACTACCCTTAAACACAAAGAAAGACCCAAACTATACAAAAAAAAAAAAAACACCTCTGGGGTATTTTTTAAACGTCAGCAGAAATTCATAAAAAATGGTTTTTCACGATTGTTTTTTGGGCTGTGTAAATGGGCTTCTCAGTTGAGAATGTTTGTAATCCTGAAGACAGTACGTGGGTGAAATCCCAAGTATAGCCTCAGAGCAGTGCATATTATTACTCCTACTTTCCTGCTCAAAGTTGTTCTTAATCAATAAATATTGCTGTATACTAAGTTATTCATACCTTTGTACATTTTATGTTTTTGTATTTTTTGTAACTCAAGAAAAGAAGGTGAACTTGTTGAATTAAGGCCTTTGTTGAATACTTATAGATTTAAGCTTCAATATGTCACATTTTCAAGAAACATAAATGGGGCCAAATCAATTTTTTCACGTACTTAAAACATTACAAAACTTGGTAAGAGTATGAATAATTTAGTTGCTAACTGTATATCGTGCTGAGAGCCAGAGAGGCTTTATTTGAGTTATTAATGATTTACTTAGATTAATACTTTTCTTGCTCTCAGAACATGGTTGGGATACTGTTATGTTTGAGAACAGAAAATACAATGCTGTCAACTAACAAGCTAAGCAAAAATAGTTGTCTATAGTGGTTGTATATAATAAATTGGTGGATTTAAAAAGGTGGATGCTGTTCTTTTGTAAGCAGTGCCACAAACATGATCTTTAATTCATTAGATATGATTTGATTTTGATCCAACACACATTTTTATAGACTTCACCCCATTTCCGTCAGGCTTAATACTCAATGTGTTTGCATTCCAAATCACCAAAAGAAATTTACATCATAGATCAATGATTTTTTTTGTGTATATCAAATTTGTAAATAAGGCATTTTTCTATCCACATCAATATCCCTGTAAAGGTGTGGAATAAGGGTTTCAAATAGCCAAAATAATCTTTGAAAACATTTGATTGCAGTAAAAAAATTACTTAACTTTAAAAAAAAATTAACAACACTTCAGTAGATTTCAATTATCCACCAGAAAAAGAAAAAAAAGTAGTAAGTCAACCATTAAAATGGCCACAAAAGGTGATTCAGTTCTGAGACTCAGAAACTGTTATACCTTCATGCTGCCCTGTGTTTTTAAAGTTACATAAAACACTGCAGTGTTCTCTAATATTACCTATGGTTACTATAGAAGTTGGATCCAACAGTTAATATCTTATGATGAAGGCAAAATATAAGATCAATCGAATTGTAATTTCTTCTCTTTGGAAATCTGTAAGCAAGTATTACATTCCATTAGTTAAATTGCACCTTCCCCAAAAGTCAGTAATGACAATTAGAAATAAATTCATTAGTAGTGATATATGCCTTTAAAACTTACCATAGGAAGCTCTACAGAATTGCTGCTGAGGGTGTGCCCCTTCACAGCTACACCCCTCTGCCCTGGGCGCCCCTAAGAACAGCAGCAGAACAGAGCACAAAGCTATGTAGATACTCAGCCCCATAATCTCCATTTTGAATACTCCTTTATCCAGCTAACACGAGACAGTGATGGTACAATGACGAGTGTTAGAAGGTAGTCAACGTAGCCTGTGACTATAGCTGTGGAGAATCCGACAACTTGCCTTAGATTAGCCTCTCGTTCAGCCTTGGAAACTTTTGATGTCGTCACTGGGATCTAAATTTGGGTGCTAGTGGCCTAATTAGCCGTGAGTGCTAGCTGTGCCAGTATTGCGCTTTCCACTTTCCAATCAGATTAAAACTTATGTCCCAAATCCAACATCTCCTCCTACGAAAGACAATATATCCTTTCCCAGTTTGAATTGGAGACTTGCGTATGATTTATTCATACAAGCGTTAATCAATAAAGCAGGCAGTGGAATCCATCTAGCTAGCAAGGTATGCTCCTAATACAATTTCAGAGTGTGGTGACTGATTGCAAGACAATCAGCAGAATACAAACTCTCTTTCTAGCTCTCCCCTGCATGCATGCCCCTCTGGAGGTTGACTTCACAGTGGATTCCCACACAGACCTGCTTCTCTATTATTCATTCCATCGATCCACCAGAGCATCTTTTCTCCCTAAATGAAGGTTTCTTCTGATCAAGAGCAAGTACTAAGAGAAAACGTGAGAGATGGAGAGTAAGTGAGAAAGAGAGAAAGAGAGAGATGTAGTAAGAGAGACCAAAAATGATGGAATGGTTCGCTGATGGCAGAAACGATAATTCACTTGTTGTACATTGCTGCCTGATCTAATAAAGCCGCACTATGGCTCCGGGACTGGGATACCAGATCCCCTGTGCTGAAGATGCTTAAAGTTGCAGTAGATATTTTCCTGGCTCTATATTAAAGCTAAGCTCAAGCCTCTGTTCCCTCAAGATCTGTGTGAGTCTCAAGTACGCCACCTCCAACGAGCCCCCAGCTTAGCGATCGTGTCAATATTGGGATGTTTATGCATGTGTGTCTCTCCTGAGGGGCATGCAAGGATTTTGAATGTGAGAAGAAGAGTGAGAGGTTCTGAGAGGGAGACGGAGACAGAGAGAGAGAGAGAGAGAGAGATAGAGAGAGAAGGGAGATGGGGTTGGGGGGGGGGGGGGGAGGGAAGGGGAAAAATAAAACAATACCAAAGAGAAATAAATGATTCTTTCAAAATAGATTTGACCTGGAAAATAAGTTTTCAGAGAAAATATATGAAAGAGAAAATGAAATTATAACTGAACTTACAAGATATTGTGGACATAAAACAGGTGAGTTTGTGGTGTAGAATTTCAAGAAATTCAGTAATAGGAGCACGTAGAGAGTTCTTGAAATGGATGCAATCAGTAGGGTTGGGAAAAAGGTCAGAGGTGTATTTGAAAACAAGGTCAAAAAACAGAATTGAATAAGAAAGAGAAATGGAGAAACTTGTTAGACAATGGATGAGGTGAAACTGATGAATCTGCTTTGAAATTGAGAATAAGAGTTGAATGAATGTGAAGATTCTAGAGAAAGGATGAGAAGGTTAGTACATGTATGTTAAGTTTGAGCATAGATGTGTACATTGTATACCGGGAATATTGTCTCTCTATTTTTTTTTGAGAAGATGGGAAAATGGACGAGGGAGAAAGGAAATGAGGTAGGGCCATGGAGAAGGAGGTTGTATTGGAGATGAAATAAACGGATGAGGGAGGGAATTGTTGTTTGGCAGAAAAGAGAGGATTTAATTGATCTGAAATATGAGAATTCTAATGGATGGTAACTTGAGCATAAAGACCTTGCCTTGAGATGGGTTAGAGAGATGCACACTGAAGATGCTTTGATATTGAATCCTGTCAGAGCAGAGATGATAAAGGGATAAGGAAGAAAAAGGTATCATTCAGCTTCCATTATCTTATTTTGAAGGAGGCTTGAAGTAGGTATAAAAGGAACATTTTGTATGAACAAAAACAAAATACATAATGATAATAAAGGGACCAAAATAGAACCAAAATATGGCACAATTCATATAAATATATGAAGGAAACCAGTAATAGAGTATCAAGCAAGCAAATTAATAGAATTGATAAATCACAAAAAGAGGAGATAAATTAAAGAAAAATGTAAGTTACAGGAATACAGGAAAATGCCTTAGAAGTAGTTTCAGCATGAGACACCCCCCCCCCCCTCTCTCTCTCTCTCCACTTTTCATGCAAAGGAAAAAGATGGGGTGAAGCTGACAAAGTGAGAATTGATTAGTATATTATTGTGTTTGCATTGGGATAAGACTAGGGATCTCTATTTTATTTGATTGTCAAATATAGATGTAGATAATAACATCTGCTGAGAGTAAGAAGGGTGTTAACTATATGAAGAAGTGTTTGAGGTAGCACCTAGCTTCTGACTCTCATCAGATGAGAGTTATGTTTCTGAGAATGCCTTCTCACAACATACCAGAGGCTAAAGGTTTCAAATCTAAAGAAATAAACAGAATCCTTGTATGACAGCATGACAGGTATTTGAAGGGAAGGATCTAGAATAAGATATATTGGGGTTGACATGGCTAAAGAAGCAAGACAATGAATAAATCAAATGAAATTTTATAATTTAGTGAGCCCATACATCCTGATATCATTAAGATAGGATATCATATTTGCTATGTGTCCATATACTGGGCTCTGTTATCTTTCAGATCAAAATCCAGAGTTGATTGGAAAATTAATAATTCAGATGAAATGCAATTTCCTTTTATTTAGGTTAATGAAGAATGATAAGTATGTATATTCAAGTAAGTAGAATGTTTGAAACAGAGAGAGAGAGAGAGAGAGAGAGAGAGAGAGAGAAAGAACTGTATATGTACATGCAGTATCTGTTGTATTCCAATACACACTTACAATGTTATCTATGCAGATATGATTTCATATTCACATTGAAATGAATCATTCTGCCAGACTGAATATTATCAGATCAACACATACTCATTCATCCTAATTGTATTCTCCGATGAATGCATCATTTTTTTCCTGCCAAGTGTAGATTGCTCTTCGAAAAAATACTCTTTCTTATCAGATTCTACGCAAAGACACATGGGGTAATCAAGTTCTTTCCATTTAAGATTTGAAAGGGCCTTTTTCTTTGTGGTTTTTTAAGCTTGATGCAGCGATAGCAATATTCTTTCTGAGCCGCACTCTTGATCGTTCCCGTCATGGTAGAGTTTGAAACCGTAAAGGTGAATCTGTCGGATTCCATTTGTGGGCAAATCTTTTATTTTGCTTTGGTTGCCCTCACGCTGGTTTCTCCTAGTTCACTGAGATGATAGTTTCTTCTGGTGAGAGCCAGAAAGGGCATTAACTCTGTGTTATAGTGTATAAGATAATGTCCTTCTGGCTTGATATTGATATTGATTGTTACAGTGCTGATTTTTTTTTCTTTCTTGGATCTTTTTCATACAAAAAAAAAATCAGTTCATGTTGGTGGATGAGTAGCCAGAACACCTCCTTACAGTTTTTAATATCATTTAAAGGGCCGGGATAACTATTTCTGTGGTGAAAGGTGCTCAGTGTTGTTATTTGTTTTTTATAATATAAAAGATCTTTTCCTTGAAATTCAAAATGGGGTCATGAATTGGGAACTTTGAACACTACTTGTATATTGGAACACCCTTTTTTAATCAAGATAAACAATGCAATAGCAATCATATTAAAAAAAATTAACTCACAATATTAACTTTCTCATATATGATATAGAGTAAACAACTAAATTATTCATACCCTTTTAAATTTGATGTGCTTTTTTTGTGGCTCAAGAATGACAGGTGGACTAGTATTAGGGCTTTTGTTAAACATTTTTTAGATGTAAGCTTCAATATGTCACATTTTCAGAAACATAAATGTGGGACAACTAAATTTTTGACATACTTAAAAAACTACCAAACTTGTTAAGGGTCTGAATAATTTAGTTGTTAAATGTATAAAGTATCTCTACCGGATAGTGTTGATGTAATGGTCACTCATGTTTTATAGTAAAGGTATGAAGGAACATTTACTTCAGCTCATGAGAGCTTGCTGCAGATATCATCTCACAATTAACCAAATTGAAAAATTATCCCGTCTGAAACGTTACTCAGAGGCTACATCTATGCTCCTGCGGTGAAAGGATGGAAATAGCATCCCAATTAAAGTAAATGTCAATGCTTACCCTTGGGCTACAACAAACTTCTGAACATCAACCCAACCAGGGAGTGACTTTTTAAACTTTCCTGTTACATCCTTAGCGGTGGATAGCAACGGAGTGTGTCGCTAGCAACGGTCCAAAGCATAGACGGTGAGAGAAGGCGAGCCATGCAGAGCGAAGGGGAGAGGGAGTGGAGGGGTTTAGAGGAAGGGGAAGAGGAAGGAGTAGAAGGAGGGGGTGAGGGTGAGAAAAAAATGTTCACCGACCTTCAATTCCATTCACATCCAGATTGGTCCGTTACTTAAGTGACCTTTGATGAAACATTAACCCTATTGCTGCAGACATTATCGCTGAAACACTAGAGGATTATTTGTACTTTTCAATATTTTTACATCTTGTAAAATTTCCTTAAAAATATATTTTACTTTGTAGTTTATATATTTTACTAGCAGGACCCGTGGAAAATCCACGGGATTCTAGGGGAGGGGGCCAAATAGATAGATAGAGGCCTATGTGCTATCCCAAAAAAATTTAGATTATCTTTATATAGAGAATTTTTATAATATATGCTGTTTGACCATGAATGGCGCATCATAAAACAAACTATGTCAGATAGGATCTCGATAATTACTATTTATTTGCATTATTATTGTTGTGATTTCAATGTAGTTTCATGAAAAGACTACATATGCAGAGGCTTGGATTATGATTATGTTGGCATTGTTCACAAAATGTGTATAATTATTTTCAAAGTAAAGATTTTACGCGAAAAATCGGACGGTTTGTGCACAAATTGACTCGACTGTGTGTGGGACTGTGAGCGTAGAATCCAGTGAAAGAATTTTTTTTTTGGGGACTCGATCTATATCAAATTTTGGGAAAATTTTTGGGGGCTACTTTTTTTTATCTTTCGGGGGTCATTTTTCTTGGGCTAATTTTTCATTAATTCATTTAAAGATGCAGTTTGTTTAGTTTAGTAGCGTAGTGTTACGTAAAAAAAGGCGTACTTTCTGCGTCAAGTTTCTACGCCGAAAGTACGCGAATTTTGTTAAACATATTAAATTGTTTGCGTCCATCTTGCGTTCTTTTTTGCGTCCCTCAGGGTATAGTAACGTAGGCCAGCGTACTCTCAGTTCAGCGTAGTTGGTACGCAACTCTACTATGGACCCCACGCCAATTAGTGATTGACCTGCCAGTGTCACAAATAAGGCATTAAAGATATGCTCATCTGACCGTAATTAAATGCCTAAAACCCCTGAGCTTTCGGGGTTCAGCCCTTTGTACCCGTGGACACCACGCCTGCACTCAAATCGCTTTGAGTTACCTGACCCCCCCCCCCATACTTTAAAAATTGATTTGATGCAAGAACTGTATCATACTAAAAGTATTATCATGTTTTTAAACGACCATGACGACCGTCTCATTTTCTTGTGAAAAATGATTATCGAAATTCAGTATACAACTATACATGGCCAGAATAATCACAATCCAAGCCCAGGTTTCATACATCTATTCACGAAACTATATTGAAATCGGGGCAATAATAGCAATTTCAAAGTGTTGTTTAGACTCTCCTCACATGCACCCACGGACAGACCTGGCTACTCCAGTCACCGCTACTCCATGCTCACACACTCAGCTCCGACAGCACCGCCGACAGCACCGCCGACAGCGGCGCTCAGCTGCCGTGGCAATACACTGTGGACTCAAGGCAGTTTGCAACTGAACTGTCACATGAAGGCGTACTATCACAGATCTATTTGCGCTATTCTTGTTATGATTTCGATGTAGTTTTCATGAAAAGACCAATAAAAC